GAAGCCTGGTGTGGTCACTATCTTTTGCCACTTCGTTGTCCAGTCTCGAGTTGGCATGTTCCCCTGAGAGCATGTGTACACCTCATTCATGGCCGCCTTCACGACGTTGCGGACCATGAACCGGGTGAACCATAGCTGCTCGAACTCCTTCCACGTGATGTGCGTGTGGAGTTCGGCGATGGTGCACTTGTGGGTGGCCGCCAGGTGGTTCATCCATGCCTGCGCTCCTCCAATCAGTTGCAAATAGACTGCCTTCAACATGTCGTTCGCCGGGACAGTGCGGCATGACGCTTCCGTGAGGAAACATTGCCACCCTGTCAAAGCGTCCGACTTGTTGTAGTCGTCGAACTTGCAGATGTCGAAGTGCGGCATCTTGAACGTCTTTGTAGCGGCGTCCGGTCTCGTCTGTAGCTTGGTGATGCCCGTCTTGATGGCGGCCACCGTGCTGCTGATCGTGTCCGGTTCCTTGAAAACACCTATGTCGCCGATGATGGTGACAACGTGATCGATGCGTTCGTTGATTTGCTTCGTCGCGTCCGTCATGCAGCCTGGCGCTGCTGAGGCCTTGGCCTCGATGCCGTTGATGCGTGCGATGGTAGAGTTCATCAGTTGTTGCTGTTGCTGCTGCTTCATTGCTGCGTCGCGGACGCCGGCCGTTACAGCGGCCAGGTCTTGCTGGTACTGTTGTCTTTGCTGTCGTTCCGCGTGCAGGTGTGCCTGCAGTAGTTTGTTGTTCCACATTACTCCCCTCATTACGTTCAACATCACGGTAGCCAGGTTACTTCTCTCTGCCTCCGCCTGTGTCGGCTCCGCCTGCGTTTCCGTAGGCACAAAGATCATGCCTTGGAGTATCGTTGTCCACTGATGCTCACTAGCAATCAGGGACTCCGTGCTGGCGGCATTCCGTCTGTTTCGTGCCGCTTCGTCAGTCTCAGCTGTCCGCTGAGCTTCGGCTGCCGCCTCATTGGMCAGCCGCTGACGTTCTGCCTCTGCCGCAGCCTGCTGAGCCTCGGCGGCGGCGTCTGTAAATGCCTGTAGCCGCCCATGATAGTCAGCCAAAGGCTCGCTGGCCTCTTGGACCGGGCATGCGGGAAGATCTCCGGTGGTGTCTTGTACTGTCAATGCCGTACTTGATGCCGCTGGAGTCGTCCGTCTGCTGAATCTCTTGGGTCTTGGAGGTACCGCAGGGTGGGCACGAACTGCGATCCTGGCACTGCGCCGTGGCAGTGCCCCGGTGTCCTGTTCCATCGACATCTGAACTGATGCGGTACTTGAGAGGTGCCGGTGTTCACAGAATACAGGGGGGTAGGGAGAGTGGGAACAGGGGTAGAACAATCAGGCAATATACATACAATCCCCTGTCCCATTGATGGACTGTAGACACCTAATCAAACAGAAAAATAACTTTCCCGTAAATCACTCCAAAATTCGTAATAAGAATTTRATAACGATTTAATCAGTAAAATTAATTAATGATAAATAACGAAATAATAATTCTTAATGATAATCCAAAAGATAACCAATAATCAATATTTGCAAAAAGATAAATCAATAACCAATCATTGCAATCATGATAATAACGAATTTGAATGGTGTTATGATTAGGTCTCTTTGAGATCACTTGAGTCCGGGAGTTCACCGTTAATGAGTGAACTACCCGGAAGTTGCAGTTCGAGGGTCAAATACGGATTAGTGTGCTTTGAAGAAATTTCGGGAAATTTCAGAAGAAAAACGCTCGAATTTTCAAAAACGTGAATTTTTGGGAATTTCCACCGTCAAAATCCGATTTTTAAAGGTCTAACCCTATTTTCGGAATTTCTCCAACAAGGGGAACGAAAAAAAAAATTCACGAAAATTTTGGTCCCAACCCTAATTTTCCGCGTTTCCGCGAAATTTCCGGATTTACAGTCCCAAAACATTCGAATTTCCCAAGTTGATAAAAAAAACCGAAGATTTCGTAACCCTAATTTCCAATACTGAAAGACAACGGAAATCCCAGAAGAAAAACGAAATATAGGATTTACAACAGAATGCCGAAAACGGAATGCTGCCGAATTTCAACCATGATACTGATTCAACCCTAATTACGAATTACTAACCAGAAATCCGAATCAAACAGAATGTTGGATTAGTATCAATTTCTCGGATCTAATTAAACAGCGTACCGGCATAAAACAGAAATCCGAATAATAAGTCCGAATACTGAATTGAAATGGAATGCCGAAATAACCAGAAGGCCGAAAAAAGAAATTTTGCAATCTCGATAATAATTCAGCGCCGATTTAGAAGATCAAACAAAATAATCTAATTCTAAACGGACTTACCTGATGAGCACATCCGTTATTGGTCTGCTCCGATACCAAAACTGTTGCATACTTCAATGAGTATGGGCAGAACCAAAGATCAACCAATGTAGGATGAGCATATATGCAGCGGAAGTCTGATAAACGGACTGACTCACATAGHATCACTCCACACACATACAATCGTGAGATGGTGGGGTCTGGGCCATTCATAGACGATGCCCAGATCCCGTACACGCATTCACAGATGAAAGGTGGGAGGAGAGACGAAGGAGGTGGGGAGGTAGACAACACCGATAGATAGAGTCTGATAGGTCTCCGATATGGTAGTCCAAAATGTCATACAACAAGATCAAAATGTCGAGGCCCATAGGTCACCAATGTCGGAGATACAGAGTCCAGATGTAACCGGTGTCCAACTGTGATGCAGCCGAGTATCAACCTCAACAATCTCCAAGTCTCCAATCAGGTAAGTACCACAGTCTCATATCACCGAAGTCCAACTCTGATCTCTGTCCAACTAGTATAAGTCTCTAGTCTGAGGAAGAAGAAGAAGGAGAAGAAGGAGAAGAAGAAGAAGGAGGAGGAGGAGGAGGAGAGAGAGAGAGAGAGAGAGAGAGAGTTGACGAGGGAGGGAGGAGAGGTACTCCGCTCCCAGGTACCTCAGGCGGCAATGGCCGCCGTGCTGGCTCAGTCGCCCTGCTGCTGCTCCGCTTGCCGCTGCGCTAATGCTGCGCTGCCGCTGCTGCTCCTTGCTCGCTCAGTCGCCCTGCTGCTGCTCCGCTTGCCGCTGCGCTAATGCTGCGCTGCCGCTGCTGCTCCTTGCTCGCTCCTGCGCTAAACTTAGCGCATCAAACAGCGCTCTGGCGCTGACCATAACGCACCGGTAGAGTGCCGGTGGTTCGATGCCTCCAAGTGAGGCTGTACCGGTACTTATACCGGTGGGGAAGAGGCCGGCCTCAATGCTGCGAGGCCTGGCCATGCCCTGAACCGTCCACATGGACGGTTCAGCCCCAACCGGTGGGCGGCAGCCTCAAGAGCGCCGCCAGGCCCAAACGATAATGCCGTTTGGGCCTGCCCGTCGGGTACTGGTCCAAGATCAGACCTTTACCCCAAGGTCGGGCCTTTAGGCCCTGATGTGTCCTTCCGGCCCTAAGTCGGGTCCGGTAGGACCCGTGTGCGTCGAAGATGTAACACGTGGCCACTGTGCAAAGTTCCCCACTAGTGAATCTGGTATAGATTCGGGGGAGGTGCGTTCAGTTTGAGTTGTCCCGAGGTCATGGTCGACCAGCCGAACGATCGCTATAAGCTAGCATGGCCTGCAGAGTGAGCATGCCTGTTAGGGGAGGTAGTAGGGGGGTCACGGCCGGGCACAACAGACAGGAGGGATCCTGGTGGGGGCTGCAGCATTAATAGCCTTTACCACCAAGCCCAGTTCGGCTGGCACACTCGTGGGCTGTTGGGGTGTAGATCGGAGTTCGATCTGAAGAAAAAGCCCACGAAGGTGTTGCCACACCAGACTAGACTGCTAACTTGAGCTTTTGAGGGTGGGCGAACTCGAGTTTATGGTCAGTTTGGACAGAGAATTAGTAGAAGTGAAGCTAGATGGAAAAATCAGTGCGCGGCGATGTCGAAGGTAGGAGGGAGGGTAAGAGTTAAAAGTGTCTATCTCTCTCGTTCCTCCATAGAATCGGGTGAAAAAAGAAGCTAAACAGGGGTTTTTAGGCGCTACGAATCGATTGGTGGAGTTAGATTTAGCAGAGGAATGGTAGTTTTCGCGCTATGAAGAGGAGGGCCTCTGCGGTATAAGAAGGGGGGGGGAAGAGCCTAGCGGGGAGTGAGTGCATCTTGCCACCTTCTAGCAGAAGATTCACTCACTTTTTTTTTTTTTTTGTAGTAAGCGGTTCGGGCCCCACCCACTTGTGTTCGGCTTGATTGCGGCTCTCCCGTCCTCTCTATTGCTGCGATCTTCATAGTGAGGGTGGTTGGTAATACCGACTACGGTCATCTTCTCGGATCTTTTTTCCCGCTCACGACGTTCGATGCTCGAAGTTTGAGCGAACTTGATGTGGCGGGCAGCTAGGTGCGTTGGTAAGCCAAGGGACAGCAGCAGCCACAAGAGTAGAAGCAGTCACCAGGCAAGGGGGGGGGTCGGGCGCGCAGTTCTGTGACAGGGGTGCTGGCACCTGGCCGGGTTCAAGTAGCAAGTTCATCCACAGCTGCCAGATGTGGGCGTTATGGCGTGAGGGCCTGGCGGGTGTACCCCCCCATGGTCTACCATAAAACTTCAGTCATTTTCTGAAGAATGCTGTCTGAGGCGCGCGGCGACATCTGCATCTGATAGCTCGTTGGTTCGAACTCACACCAGATTCACTTTCAGTGAGGTTTCCCGTCGCAGTGTGACGTTCTGTGTTTTCAGCGGAAGACTCCTCCT